AGGGAGGACTCTGAGCTACTTCTGGACATTATCTTCTTGTTCTGGACTTTAAAAATGCTTCTTCCCCTTTCACCTAGGTAAGGAGTCTTGCATACAAGTAGTCCTCGACTTATGACAATTGAGCCCCAAATTTATGTTGCTAAGTGAAACATTTGTGAAGCGACTTTTGCCCCATTTTGTGACTTTTCTTGCCACTGTTGTTAAGTGAATCATTGCAGTTGTTAAATTAGTAGCAGGGTTGTCAAGTGAATCTGGCTTCCTCGTTGACTTTGCTTGTCAGAAGGTCGCAAAAGGGGATCACGTGACCTCAGGATGCTGTAATGGTCATAAATATGAAACAGTTGCCAAGCATCTGAATTTTGATCATGTAACCATGGGGATGCTGCAATGGTTGTAAGTATGAAAAATGGTCATAAATCACTTTTTTCAGTGCCGTTGTAACTTTGAACGGTCATTAAATGAACTTGTGTAAGTTGAGGACTACCTGTCTTTACATTAAGGTCATCTTCCTTATCCTCTTCATTTTCAGAGGTCAGTGGTGCTGATAAGTCATAGACTGATCGTGAAATGATCTGTCCATGATAAAAGATTAATATCCTCCATTGTTAGATTACAAGCCAACTGCTCTGTGGTAAAAGATAACAGCTGGAGAGAATCCAATACTGTACCAGCTCCAGAAATTCAGTAAGAGATGCATTCAAGCAGCAGGGTGGGTTGAATAGCTCAATCTCAGCCTGCATCCAGTCACCAGGGGAGCAACATATCTACTCACAGCTAAGGTCTCTTGTACATCATTGCCAGCCTCTCTGGCCTTGGATCTGTGGCTGATGAATCACCTGAAACCCAGGCAAATTTCAGACAGTTAAAAGTGGTAGTAAGAGGTTTGTACCCTCAGACTTGCAAGATTCTGCTTGCTTATTTATTTATTTATTTATTTGATTTATATGCCTCCTTTCTCCGGAGACTTACAATACATTAAGCAATAGCCTTCATACTTTTGTATATACCTGCTTAGTAGGGCTTTTTGACCCCTCCAAGCGGTGTTCTATTTTATACAAAGTCAGTTTATTGCCCCCACAAACCGGGTCCTCATTTTACCTACCTCAGAAGGATGGAAGGCTGAGTCAACCTTGAGTCAATGCTGTAATGTAGAGCATTGCTCAGTAGATTTAGCTCATCTAGTTGATTTTACCCAGGACAAAAAGTGAATTCCTCTTTTATAATTCCTCTTGTCTTGGCCTGAAGATAAAGCAGGGCAAGTGGACCTGGGTATTTGCGGGACCGCCTTCTGCCGCCGATAGTCTCCCACCGGCCAGTACGCTCCCACAGAGAGGGACTCCTTAGGGTGCCGTCAGCCAGGCAGTGTCGGCTGGCGACCCCCAGGGGGAGGGCCTTCTTTGTGGCAGCACCTGCCCTCTGGAACGACCTTCCCCCGGAGGTACGTATGATACCAGATCTCCGGGCTTTTCGCCGTGCCCTAAAAACCTTTCTTTTTCACCAAGCAGGGCTGGCGTAAACCCCCCCCCTTTTTTTTTTTTTTTTTTTTGATGTTAGATTTTTAATTGTCTATGGGTTTTAGTTGGGATTTTAAATTTAGGCCAAAAGTTGTGTAATCTTTTAACAAATTTTAAATTTTGTATTGGGATGTTTTGCTGTGCACCGCCCCAAGTCCAGTAGGAGAAGGGCGGTATACAAATTTAATAAAATAAATAAATAAATAAAATAAAGTGAGATTAAAACTGGTTAATGGTCTTGAGAAAGTGAGGAGATGGTCCTTTTACCTTGTTTAGTAGTGTCATTTTCTTCCTTGACTCCTTCCCTTTTCCAACTTGCTGCATTCTAGTACATTTACTTTCCTTCAGGTGCACTCTCCCCCCCCTCCCTCTCTCTCTTCCCCTCTCCCTCCCTCCCTCCTCCCTCTCTCTCCAACTATAAGCTTATTTAAGTTCTGTTTTCCATCAACCCATGACTCAATTATCTTCATGTGAATTCTACCCTAAGCTTCAAAATTAAACAAGGGCTGAACTCAGAATATCAGTCCAGTTTAGAAATAGATATGTCTTCTGTGTTCTAATATGTTAGTAAGCCAGGAAAAGGTGACACAAGAGACAAGTAATATGGCTGCATCCCAGAGAATGAATTACATTTGGCTCCAGATAGAATAAGTAGGATACTGTCCTTCAAGAATGGTCACAAACTGTGACATCTCTCATGAAAAATGAATTCTTAGAATCCTCCCTAAGCCTGTAGAATGAGCTCTGTCTTTTTTTAGCAATGGCCTTCTGTGTGCTCAAACTCTTTTTGAATGTACTACTGAGTTTGTATTAAGTGTCCAGGAAAAACTCAGATTGTAGAAGCATCCATTTTATGCAAGTCCTCAAACATGAAGACAGGGCTTTGCAGGTCATTTTCATTAGAAGAACTGGACAAAGAAAGCTTTTGTAGAGTGTACAGACTCATCAAGCTGAAAAAGTAAGTTCAGGATCTCAGTATCTTTCAGAGCTACCTTCTCCTGGAGATGTAGAAGACAAGACCCCCCCCCCATCCCTATTATTTCATCTGTGTGGGATATCTGAGTCAGTCTTTCTTTCTTTCTTTTTTATTGCAAAAGTTTTACAATTACATTTTCACCCCTTTTTCCCCCCCCACCCCCCCCCCAAACTTCCCAACCTCCCTAACCCTCCCTAACCCTCCCGTCCCCCCAGACTTCCCTATAATATACTCATAACTCGTAAAAAAAAACCCTTAATATGACACTTACGTATAAACTAATGTATAAACTTGAACCCCTCCCTCCCCTGTATAATTTTTCTTTTTACCTCATTACATTCTAAAACATTATTTTCAAGTAAAGGCTATTTGATACTTTCTAGTTTGATATTTGTTCTGAACATATTCTATCCATCTTTTCCATTCCCATTCATAAGTCTCTTGTGAACAATCTTTTAAGTATGCTGAAATCTTCGCCATCTCTGCAAAACTGGCCATCTTCAAAGTCCATTCCTCAATAGTGGGCAAAGCTTCATTTTTCCAGTATTTACCTATCAACAATCTTGCTGCTGTTATCATATACAGTATCAGTTTTGTTTCACCCGATGTAAAACCCTTAACTATACCCAATAAAAACAATTGTGGAGAGAATTGAATTTTTTTCTTCAACACATTCTGCATGACCCACCAAATTTTTATCCAAAAAGCCTTAACTTTCCTACAGGTCCACCAAACATGATAATACGTAGCATCCAAACATTCACATCTCCAACATTTTGGCTGAACATTAGGGTACATACATGACAACTTTTTGGGATCTAATGCCATCTATAAAACATTTTATAGAAATTTTCCCTCAGGTTCTGCGACTGTGTAAATTTAACATTCTGAACCCAAATTTTTTCCCATGTTTCCAACATCACTGGTTCTTCAAAATTTTGTGCCCACTTAATCATACAATCTTTAACTAATTCAGTTTCTGAATCCCTTTCTAGCAAAACATTATAAAGCCTTTTGATATGCATTGGACCTTTCTCTTTTATATGTCTAACCAATTCTTCCTCATGCAACATAATACCAGTTTTTTGGTCCTCTTTCCATCTCAATTGTAATTGATTATATTGTAACCAAGTTAAATTAATCCCTTCGTCCAACAGTGTCTGCAATGTCTTCAGCTACCATCTGCCCGCATCTGTAAAAAGAACCTCTTTGTATAAAAAAACCCCGAGTGACATTATATTTGTATTCCACAAAGTATGACCAAGATCCAGCCATAGCGGTATTTTATAATCCCATTTGAGTCGGTGCTTCTTCCAAACTCTCATCAAAGAGTCTCTAAGTATATGACTTTTAAATACTTTATCAACTTTGTCATCATAAAATAAGTAAGCATGCCATCCAAATTCAAGATCAAAACTTTCTGCATTCAATATTCCAACCTTTTTACTTCCAAACCAATCACTTGTTCAGTCTTTCTTTATCAGTGCTCCCATTCCCTGGAATATCCTTCCTGCTGATATCAATGGGCCCAGGGATAGGTTCTACTTACCTTTACTACCAGTTCAGAGTGGGGCCACCCGCGTGTGCTCGCTCTTCTGCGCATGCGCAGAAGCATTTTGGTGACGTCGGGGTTGATGGGTGGAGCCTCCCACCGGTTTTACTACCAGTTCTATAGAACCGATACGAACCGGAGGCAACCCACCACTGAATGGGCCTCAACTCTGTTAGCTTTTTGCAACCTGGGTATTTGAGCAGGCCTTTCAGATCTGAGGGATTATTTTTGTCTCTTCTGGAAGGGCAGTGACTGTACATATAGGCTGTGGTTGCCCTAAACATTGGCTGGGTTCCTTAGCACTGTTATACTGTGATGTTTTTAGTCTTACCATCTTTGTGGAGGATGCTAAGCCAGTCAGTCCAAGTTGGTGATGCTTCCTAATAAAATAAATATGTCAGTAAGTAAATGTATAGAGAAGCACAGTGGCTCGGTGGCTTAATGATGCTGGAGAAGATCTGTATTCCAGAGGTTCGAGTCCTAGCACCACATGATAAAGTGAGCTCCTGTCACTTGCATCAGCTTCTGCCAACCTAGCAGTTTGAAAGCATGTTGCATGCAAGTAGGTAAATAGCTACCACTTTCGTGGGTGGGGGGGGAATGGCGCTTTGAGCAGCAGCATAAACCCAACCAGTGCCAAACCTACCCAAATGCTATGCCCAAATGTCAGGTGAAATTGGTGTGGAAAACCCCAAGTGACACTAGAAAATGCTGTCAAGCCTTATGAGTATGAAGTTAGTTCATCCTTGCAGTGCACTCTGGATAGTGTGTGAATATGGACCGAATGAACTAGCAATCATTGGCAGCCAAACTATTTTGTATTAACACTATAGTTTCCTAGCTAATGTAACATTGACATGTGCTGAATAAATAAATAGTAAATGTATGTTTGTAAGTCTGGGTTCGTTGGAGCTGTTTTTGGAAACCAAAGGCAGTATCTCATCTTTTCCTTTAACAGGTTTTGCTACCCATTAAGAAGCAGAAAAAAAAAAAAGAAGAAAATCAGTTGAAGTCCTAACATGAAGTTCTCTGTCCTTGTGAGTATTTCATGGTAGTATATTCAGAAAGAAGCTGTTAGGTACAACTATCAAGACATCAAACTTCGTGAATTTTTAGTTTTATATCACTTCTAACTAAAATATAACTAATGTAAAGTAGAATTGGGAAATTCAGAATTTTTGGAATTGGGTTTAATCTATTTCTATGAGTCAAAATTGTATTTCACTGCCTACTAATTCCATTTCAATAGCCAAGTTGTAAAATAAAGTTGTCAATAGCCAACATAAAAGCTTCATCTTTAGTGACCAAATAATTTTTTTAAATTCTAGGCATGGCCTTTATCACTAGTTAGGTTTCCAATTACAAACAAGCTCCCCACAGAGAAGTTGTTTAAAAATACACAAGTAATAAAAATGCTTCTACTATTATGTTTCTTTGGTGAAAAAAAGATGGACTATTATAGCCACAGCTGTGATCCTGAAACAATTAGGAAGAATTTAAGCCAATGCTAAGACATGTTTTCTAAATGGAATTTGTGGCCTTCAACAACATCATTGAGGTAATCAACTTGGGATATTAATACTGAGAGAAATAACCATGCTATACAACTAGCCTTTAGCTTCCCATTATAATCCCTTGGTGGTTATATAGCATTTACTATCAGCGTAATCCAGAAGCAGAATATTGTAAGAGACAGTATAAAAGTTAGTTACCTAGTAGTTGCTTTTTAATAAGATTTTAGCTGATGAAAAGATCTGAAGATCTCACAAACCCGACATAATTACAATTGTACAAATTACAATTCTTGGATCAGGAATTGGTTATTTATGACACTATCTTTCTCCAATGATCTCCTATAACTGTGATGTCGAACCTATGGCACGCGTGCCACAGGTGGCACATGGGGTCATATCAGTGGGCACATGAGTGTTGCCCTAGCACAGCTTCTGCATGCACGCACATGCCAGCCAGCTGATTTTCGGGCCTTCCAGACCCACCAGAAGTCAAGAAACAGACTGTTTCTAGCCTCCGGAGGGCCCCCAGGTGGGTGGGGAAGCCCGTTTTCGTCTCTGGAGCCTGGGGAGGATGAAAAATGGGCTTACTGGGCCCACCATGCCATCACGTGCCAAAAGCAGGGGGACGCGGGGGGTCATGCGCACATGCATGGGGGGCAGGGGGCATTGAATTATAGGTGTGGGCACGCGTGCACGCAAGCCCCCCCGTGCTCCCCCTGCTTTTGGCACACGACGGCAAAAAGGTTAGCTATCACTGTCCTATAAGATCCATTCTATAAGATCAGGAGGGTAGGTATTACCTAAGACTTACCAATTAAAGAGGGCCATGTCATGCCGTCCTGCAAGCACATCTTTTCCTTGCTGATCCTTTCCCTCTGAAATATCACCATACACATACACACACCTTGCTGTCCTTTAGTAAAGTTCCAGAACCCTGGCGCTTCAAAGAAACCAGGGACCAACATAATTTATAATCCCAAGTAATGGAAGGTGGACATTTTTGTTATTCTGTAGTGTCTTCAGATACTCTAGAAATATAAATAAGTAAGTAATCTGTATAAAATGCCACTGATCTTAGACTTTGTAAAGTTTTTTTTTATTTTCTTATAGTTTTTTTTTCAAATCCATCTCTCAATAGCTGCTAAATAATGTTAGTAGCTTGTATAACAGGTAACATAAAAATGACTAAAAAATCCTTTTTAAAACTGAAGACAACCAAGAATTTAACAAACTTCTATGGAACTAGGTCGGGGGAATTCATTATAAGATACAGAACCATATGGTTCTGGTGATTTTTTTTTTTAAAAAAAACATTATTGACATTTTGCAGAAGTAATTTTGGTAAATATAAAGGTAAAGGTAAAGGTTCCCCCGCACATGTGTGCTAGTCATTTCTGGCTCTAGGGGGCAGTGCTCATCTCCATTTCTAAGCCGAAGAGCCAGCGCTGTCCGGAGACGTCTACGTAGTCATGTGGCCGGCCTGACTCAATGCCGAAGGCACACAGTAAATGTAGATAAATACAGTAAATATAGGTAGTCCTTATTTAGCGATCAAAATTGGAACCTGTAAAGCAGTCACCACAGAACTGCAAAGGTAATAAATGTAAGAATTGGTTATAAAGTTACATTTTCATCTCTGTTGTAACTGCTAACAGTTGCTAAACAAGGCAGTCACTAAATGATGACAACCTGTAACCTAAATATTTCCTTTTATCTTGCTTTTCCTTTGCATGTTTAAGAAAAGATATGTAATGTTCCATCTCCAAATTTTTCTCACAAGACTCCTGTGGGATATGTTACACTGAGGGTATATGACTTCCCAAAATCACCCAGTGGATTTTTATGGGGCTGAGGGATACCTTTGTCCTACAATGAACTGATTCCTCACTTTCACTTTTGAAGTAAGTATGTGAAACAAGATGCCTATTGTTTTCAAACATCACTAAATCATTTCACTGAATTTTATTATTGTTTATATTGCTTTTTCTTGCTAGAGAATTTGTATTACTCAGGGGCTCTATAAAGTAATAAATCAATCAATGTCAAAACAGAAAATGGCAATTTGACATATCCAAGTTTCTTATCTAGCTAATGATATGAACATAGATACTGATACATTAGGAAATATAATGTGAGTGTAAATTAATTTTGAGTCATATAGTTCAGATATAAATTTTCTTTACTGAATTGTGTCAAGCATGTAGAAACCGGAAAGCAGAATAACCAAAAAGGTCACAGGAGGTGGAAATGCATAAATGGCTATGAAAGTAAGAATTTGAGAGTCTCTAGCAGCCTATGTATATTCTAAATTAGCTGCACCAACAAAACAAAACAATCCAGTATTTTTTTAAAATGTGTTGTAAACTGCTGTGGAAAATAGCCCCCTTATATTGATCTCCACTTTCCATATACAATATGTAGAGTTGTGTACTATATGTTGTAATCACATTGTACATCTCTCACTAAGACCCAGTTCTTTACAACAGGGATAAAAATGCAGAGCATGTTACATTACAGAGTAAGTATAGATCAGGGATGTCAAACTCAAGGCCCCAGGGCCAGATCCACCCCAAAGGGTGCTTAGATCTGGGCCCCCAGGGCCGCCCTGGAAACAGTAAAGGACCATGGTGCTTCTGTCAGCAAAAATGGAGCTTGGGAGGACATCCCCCCCCCCCCCCTTTCTGTTTGCGGTGACAGGGGGTTGCGGGAGGCCGTCGCAGCCAGAAACACAGCTTGTGAGGGCTGTGTGTGGTCCCCCCCCCCGAGCTCCATTTTTGCTGGCAGAGGGTTGTAGGAGGCCATCGCAGCCGAAAATGGAGCTTGGGAGCCTGTTTTTGCTGGCAGAGAGCTCAGGCCACCACAGGCGCCCCCAACACGAGTGATGTCAAGCTGGCCACATCCATCCTGGCCCCACTCACCCCGGCCCCCCGAAGTCAAACACAATCTTGAAGAAAGAAATCAAGTTTGATACCCCTGGTCTAGATCTACCTGTCTCAATCTGATCTATTGTTGCCTTCTGGAATCTGAAAACTCATATCAAAGATCAGCATTCATTCTTGGTTTTATACGTTTTCTGTTTTTATTATATTGTGCTTTCTATTTTGTTTGGTTTTATTTTATACCGCCCAGAGCTTGTTTAAATAAACTGATTTAATTTAATTAAATTTAACATGGCTGTGATTTGGTGCCTGAATAGTGCAACAAATTGATAAAAGCAGATTTAAATTTTACTGTAAACAAATCCACAAGTGAAATTCCATTTTGGACAGCAACCTGTTGCAGATTACATACAATTCCACATTTACTCTAGAAAATTGATATGTATTTGTTTTGTACATAGCCCAGACACCTTCATGTTGAAAAACTCTACAACAGAACTAATGTATTCATGGAGAAAATATATCTAGTAGTCATTAATCAACGGATGGCATATAATCAAGCAAGCAAGCATTAATATGCTATTCTTTACTAAAAATAAAACAAATGTGCTTGAATAGTGTACATTATAATAAAATACATGCTGAAGGTAAAACTTCAGCATGTATTTTTCAATAAAAACAGCTTATCAAAGAAAGATACAACTTCTTAACTTAGCTAGTTTTTTTGGAAGTTTTATAGGAAAGTCTTGAGAGGTGTCTGTCAACTTTGAACAGTGTTTTGATTTTCTTGAGGGTTGGGCTAAATGCTAGGATGTTTTTGTGTTGAAATTCTTTATAAGGAATCAAGAAAAGTAGCTGAACATGTTTCACTTATTTACTTTATTCATTTATCAGATTTAGAGATCACTCATCTCACTCAACCTCCAATTTTACATTACAATGATGGCAGGTTTTTTTTTTCTTTTATTTACTTGCCAATTTTTGGGAACTAGATACATGACATTAGCGTTAGACAATATCCAACAATATTTATCAAATATTCCAGTCATGAATCCAACTGCATTTGTTTCACAGAAACAATAAGTCCGGTTGTATTTAGTATCCTTTCCTGTCAATTCCATCGCCCTAACTCTTTATCCTTTTTTCTTGCAGTTGTATATAGCACAAAGCCCTGGATACTGGCATGCCCCCTCGAATCTATTTTGGCATTCCCATAAAAGTGTGTGTTCTTCTTGCTCTTCTCGCTCTGGTTTGATTGGCTACAAAGAAGCCCACCTGTGCTGTCCTTCTCCTTTGGAATGTCTCAAGTCTTTCGTCTTCATCTGGCACATTGTCATTCCATTGGTCAAGGTCCTTTTTCTGGCACTCTGTGTTGCATACCAGGAATGCAATCGCTTCTCAAGGAGACAAATGGATTTCATTCCAAAGGAGCTTCTATCATGATGCCCTGGCGTAGGATGGCATAGGCAAAACATTGAAGGGAGGGGGCGTTTAGGAGGAACTATTCTCAAGAGATCCTATTTTATGGTGAAAAGGTTTGCATTCAAAATAGATGTTTAAAATTAGATGCGTAATAGCAATCAAAGAAAAAATGTTGATGATGCTCCGTGCTCTTGATAATTCAGTGCCCGCTGTAGCAATTTTGCTATGACTAAAACCTCCATCTAAGATTTTGCTATTATAGGCTCTGCATTAATACATAAAATCTCCGCCCATGTGCCAGTGTCCTTGCATCACTGAAATGAAGATGGCTTTAATGATGGAAGTTATTTGCTTGCATATCCTCTTCAGAAATAGGATTGCAACTTCAATGTCTTTTTAAAACTGCCCAGGCCAGACTGAACATTCTTTTTTTTTTGGAAGAAAAAGGCACAGTTGAACTAATTTTCAGGACTAATACTCCGAAAAATCAAATTTTATAAATATTATGACAGTACCTCACAATGCAGCAAGGGCTTGTAACAGTCTAACATTTGGTGATACAATTGTGCAAAGCTTTGGCTTAGATGTGATGTTCTGTCATTTTATAATAATTGTTGGTAATGAGCTTTATGTACCAATCTACAATATTGTCTTTTTTCTTATTTATAATGCTGATCAAAGACGCTAATAAATAAATGTGTTTCAATGATAATAAATCATAGCTACCAAACACTTTTAGGTAACATAAAATGCACCAACTTGTCATATAGTCCTCGATTTATGATCACAATTGAGCCCAAAATTTCTGTTGTTAAATGAGACATCCGTTAAGTATGTTTTGCCCCATTTTATGACCTTTCTTGCCTCTGTTGTTAAGTAAACCCATGCAATTGTTAAATTAGTAACAGGGTTGCTAAGGTAATCTGGCTTCCCCATTGACTTTGCTTATCAGAAGGTGATAAAAGGGATCACATGACACAGCAATCATCATCACTATGAACCAGTTGCCAAGCATCTGAGTTTTGATCACATGATCATGGGGATGTTGCAGAGGTTGTAACTGAAAAATGGCCATAAGTCACTTTTTTTTTCAGTGCCATTCAGTGGTGGGTTGCTCCCAGTTCAGTCCAGTTCTTGCGAACTGGTAGTAATGGTGGTAGGAGGCTCCACCCATCTGCCCTGATGTCATCACTCATGATCTGCGCATGCGCAGAAACGCCCGCGTGCGCTCCCATTGCGAACCGGTAGTAAAGGTAAGTGGAACCCACCCCTGGTGCCATTGTAATTTTGAACGGTCACTAAATAAACTGTTGTAAGTCGAGGACTACCTGTACACATCTAGGAACAGTTTTTGTAACTGGTTCTTTAACCAGAAGGTGATTCCATCTGGCACATGTGAAGCTTGCTTTCCTACCTTACACTGACTGCCACTTTACTTATATTGTCTTTGAGTTCAACTCTTCTTAATCCTATCCAGATATAAATTTAAAATGCCTATTGTTACTGGACCAGTTGATAATGAAGGAGAAAAAGAGGTGTCAGTAGCATAGTTCTTTGATGATCTCTGCTAGATGCTTCATTTAGTTTTTAAACGGACACCAGAATACAGTCCTAAGAAAAAACCCTGAGATCTGCATGTAATCTACAAAAGCTGTTGTAACTGATAGAACAGAAACTAATGCAAAAGAACTCCTTACATTCTTAAAGCATTCTAATTATAAGCATTTGTGTGCATAAGTAGCATGAAATTTTCATAAAGTTCATATTCCACAGGCTATCCTAAAGCAAGCATATATCAATAAAACAAAGAAATGTCAATCTTGAAACCCAGCTTAAATCAAAATGGAAATGGTAAAGTTGATAGTTCCATGGTACAGCATGATTTTTATTTTGAAGGCTCCGGCATAGAAGCTTACTGTTGGAAGGAGCTATTTAGCCTATTGAGACCAATCCTCAGTATGAGTCCAAGCATCCCTGACAGATGGCTGTCTAGACTCTGCTTGAACACCTGCATTTAAATATTCTATGTTGAATGTCGTGGGGCACTTTGTCAAATATTTTCCTGAAATCAAGATATGGTAGATTTACAATCTGTTAAGGAAGCTAGTAAAAATTAAGAACCAGTTTCGTCTAGTGGTTAAGGTACCAGACTAGAAACTGGGAGACTGTGAGTTCTAGTCCCGCCTTAACCATGAAAGTCAGTTGGGTAGCCTTGGGTCAGTCACTTTATCTCAGCCCAACCCACCTCTCAGGATTGCTGTTATGGGGAAAATAGAAGAAGAAAGTTATGTTGGATATGTTTGCTGAGGCTCTGCTTTTTCTTCCTTATGTATTAGTGATATAAGATAATATTTGTAACAAAGGGTTAAACTGTGTAGTCCTTGGTGCTCTCTGAGCTTGGTGGTTTTCTTGCAGATGTTTCAATACCCAACTAGGTAACATCATCAGTGCTAGAAAGGAGTGGGAGTTGCTCTTATTTTTATGTATTAGTGGCTTGTCCAATCATTGTTGGTAGGAATAGTCTTGGTGATTCCTTGATTAGATGGTTTGTTTGTTTGTCTGCATTGGAGTCAGTTTCCAATCAAGGAATTACCAAATGATGAATTTGCTAAATGCATACTTTTTTATATATTTTATAAAATTTACACATTTTTATGCATTCATATGAACTTTTGTTGAGATTTGAAATGGAGGAAAAGCAAAATAAAGAATGTATAGTAAAATGGGCCAAGAATTTTGGTGATAATATTCAAATGGATCAATGGGAAAGAAGATAAAAGACCTGAAATTCACATTGTATTACAATTTAAATAAAACTTATTATAAACTTATTATAAACAAATATTATGCATTATATTTATGCATTAATATGTATGCACTATATGCATTATAGTGGTATGAGATAACAAAGAAATTGTCTTGGATGTATAAAGGTACTTCTAATCATTGTTGAAAATGTGAAAAACGTGAGAGGACATTTTATCATGCTTGGTGGGCTTGTGAAAAAGCAAAATGATATTGGATACAAATACAAGTGGTGATGGAGAACATTCAGAAATTAACATTCAGATGAAATCAGAATTTTTTAAATCAGAAATTATGGCCGCTCAACTAAAAAAGGTTCTTGGACAATGGGTTTTATATATGCTTAACTGCAGTTGCACAATGGAAAACTAAAGAAACATTAGTAATGGAGATAGTGAAGATGGCTAAGTTTGCAGTAATGGCTAAATTGATGTTTTGACTGAGGAGGGAACTACAATTACTTGTGTAAAAACTATAGATTTATTTTTGCTGAAAGTGGATTAAATTGCTGCTGACTATTTCAGGATTTATAGATTAAAAAGGTTTGTTTAAGGGAACTATCATCTGCAACGTGGGAGAGTGAAGAGGGCAATTGTTATGTTAGTACCATATTTCACCGAAAATAAGACCCTGTCTTATACTTTTTTGAACTCTGAAATAAGCACTTGGCCTTATTTTCAGGGAGGTCTTATTCTTTTGGGGCGCGTGGAACAATATGGGGCTCCTCTTGCCATCTTACCTGATTTCCAGCTCTGTCTCTTTAACCTTAGCCAGAGGAAATGGCGGGGACCGTCTGTGCAAGCGATTAAATATTTTTGGGGAGGGCTTATTTTTGGGGAGGGCTTATTTTTTGGGGGGGGTATTTTAGCGCATGCTAAATTTTCAGGGAAAAAGAGTACATGCTGCAAAAATCAGAAATATCGCTTCTTTAGATATGTTTCTTTTTTTTTTCTTTTTTTGTTATTCACTTTTTTTGTTACCCTTTATAATCTTTTTCTGGTCCTTTTTGTTTCTGTAGTTTTCAAAAAATATATGTAAAATCTTTTTTAATGAAAATTCTAAAAATTAAAGGAATAGTCACCAGGCCAAACAGGAGCTGAACTTATTTCTTTCAGTATATTGCCTTTTTAGACCTCTGAAGCATAACTTTCTCAGGTCCCTGAAGCAACCTCTCCTGAGCTGCTTTCACAGCTTGGAAGCATAAACTACCTTTGCCCACTCAACCGATTCTAATTCACGCAATAAGTATTTAAATGCAGAGGTGGGCATCACATACTAGAACAGTCAGTTCGCCCGGAACCGAAAATGTGAGCACACACGTTTTTGACTGACTGTGTGCTTTGTGGAACGTGTTTTAGATTTTCATGGCTAATCCCCAAACACTGTTCATGCAGTTATTCCTTACCAGCTTGCTGTATTGCTCCATTCCTTAGTTCCCAAATGGTCCTAATTGGTAGATGAATAACCATCACATCGTCAAAGGCTGGAGAGTTACAAGAAGATATTTGAAAAAAAGTCTGGGAGGAAGGAGTCTGCATTTCTTCTCTTGTCTTTCACCCCTTCTCTCCCCATACCCCACTGGACAAAAGTGATTCTGTTTTGGTCACAATCTGGGAGGCAATCTTGGTGGAAACTGACAGTAGGACAAGGATCAGTATGTTGAAATTAAGACCTCTTCATTTTAAACATTCCGTGATTCTAAAAAGCAAACTCCAGTACCATATAATACACCTGTAATGTTTGTATACAGATTTATTGTTGCCAGCATTGCTGATAAGCTATGAATAAAAGTGCAGTCAATAAAAGCAAAGATTGTAATCCCAGAAAACGGGCACTTCTGCATCCATACCCTGCTGCTATGATAAAATCTTAATAATGTTGTCTAAAAAAAATTGAAAAAATAAATAAATCTGGATATAAGGAATCTAGAGAGCATTCCCCTCGAAATTCACCAAGATCCTGACCTAAATTATCTTTTTTTAATATTTTTGAAATGCAATTTTAATTTTTTAACTTATTGAAACATTTCATATGGCTGTCCATCTCACTATAGCAACTCTGGATGACCAACAACCCAATTAAAAAACAGTTGCAATGACAAGCAATTTTCAGTGCACTAGGGCTCCAAAAAACCTAAACCCTTTTGATCCTTCAAACGAACAACAGAGCCCACCAACACCCGGCCAAAAAATTTATGGGAAGGGTATGCAAAGTGCCAGTCTCCAGCATTCTATTTATTTACGGAAAGGTACCAAGGTCTTGTTGGACATGGTGACTCAGTGGCTAAGACGCTGAGCTAGTTGATTAAAAGGTCGGCAGTTTAGCAGTTTGAATCCCTAGTGCCACGTAACATGGCCCAGCTTCTGCCAACCTAGCAGTTTGAAAGCACATAAAAAATGCAAGTAGAAAAATAGGGACCACCTTTGGTGGGAAGGTAACAGTGTTCTGTGCACCTTTGGTGTTTAGTCATGCCGGCCACATGACCACGGAGACATCTTCGGACAGCGTTGGCTCTTCGGCTTTGAAACAGAGATGAGCACCGGCCCTAGAGTCGGGAACGACTAGCACTTATGTGCGAGGGAAACCTTTACCTTTACCTTTACCAAGGTCTTAAAACAGTTCTCCAAAAATTTACTTCATAACAGTACTTATGTTCCCAATGTTGGTTTTGAATGTGTCCTTCCTACCCCATGAAAAAAGGATCAAGCAAAGCAAGGATAGTTACTGAATAGTTGATAGTTATAGTTATCAATAGTTATTGAAGGGAACGCAATGGCTCATAAGATACTGGGCTTGTCAGCTAGAGAGCTGACAGCTTCGGTTCTCGAGACCCAAGCACCCCATGATGGGGTAAGTTCCCTTTCTCGCCTCACCTCCTGCCAACCTAGCAGTTTGAAAGTATGCAAATGAGAGTAAATAAATAGGCACTGCTTTGATAGGAAGATTATTGCGTTCCATATTTTCATGCTGGCTACATGATGATGGAAGTGTATCTCAGACAACGCAGGTTCCCTTGACTGAGAATCAGAGATGAGCACCGCCCCTGTCCTGTCATGACTGGACAGGGGAAATCTTTAAAAGGTAAAGGTTCCCCTCACACATATGTGCTAGTCATTCCCAACTCTAGGGGGCGATGCTCATCTCCGTTTCAAAGCCAAAGAGCTAGTGCTGCTGAAGACATCTCTGTGGTCATGTGGCCGGCATGACTAAACACCAAAGGTGCACAGAACACTGTTACCTTCCCACCAAAGATGGTCCCTATTTTTCTACTTGCATTTTTTATGTTCTTTCGAACTGCTAGGTTGGCAGAAGCTGGGACAGTAACGGAAGCTCACCCCTTTACATGGCACTAGGGATTTGAACTGCTGAACTGCCAACCTTTCGATCGACAAGCTCAGTGTCTTAGCCACTGAGCCACCGTGTCCCATAGGGGAAATCTTTAAACCTTGTCAATAGTCATCCTGTGATAACTAGAAATGTTACAGGTAGTGTATTATAAGCAGGAATATAACCCACAGAAAGCATGTTGTGAGTGGGCTAGGCTGGCCTCGTAGCAACAGTGTTGGAGCACCCACAATACTGAGACATGCTGGGTTTTTTTTCCTTTCTGATTTTCCTTAGATTTCACCTGCACACGATGATCCTTTCCCTCATCTTGTAACTACACAAATAAGCCTTCCTATTCATATCTATATACTGTACTGAATATGCACCATACGTATCATCACATACCAATGGCAAGAGATGAAATCTTTAGTTTCCATTCATTCTTGAAAAAATAAAAATCTTTTATTGTCACAGAGATCTGTTGATGGAAAATCAAGGAATCATTATGAGTCAGTGGTGTAGTAGGTTTTAACATCGATTAAAAGGAATATTGATCTAGGGTTTGCCAAGCAAGTAAGCTCTGCAACTGCATTAAGAAAAGAGAGATTCTTTTCCTAATGCAGTATTAATTTTAGGCTCATGTTATAGATTTGCAACAGCTCTGAGTTTTTTTTTTCTAAAAACAACCTGTTAAGCATTTTATCTATATAACATTCCATGCATCATATCCTTTCCTCCCCACCGCCCCCGTTCCAACCAGTTGGCAAGTTTTCATAATTCTCAATGGTTTTGAGTGTCCTCTTCTGACTGAGCAAGGTATGACTTGGGCAGGCAGATGAAGAGTAACGAGTCTCCTTCCCACCAACTTTGACTCCCCAGTTATTTACAGCACATTATGGAAAGTGGAAGGCGTGCCAGAAGGAATTTGTTTTTCCCCTTGGAATGCTGCAGTTGTCCCTTGGTGTAAGGAGATCCCCAAAGGCCTGAGCCAAGAAAGTGCTGACAAAAGTGAAACTCCAAAGGGCAGAGAGCAAGAATAAGCTGGTTGGCTTAAGAAAAGCTCCAGTCAAGTCCACACCCCCTAAAAGAAGCTATTCTTTATAAAGGCAGACACAACCGGCAATGGCACTATCATGTGCAGGGCCTTTCAACGCCGGCCCTACAATACTTGAAAATGATGATCACGAGAAGTGTGGCTGCCCCGTTTTCCAAACACTCTGGCAACAGCCTCAACACTTCCAGAGCAAGAGTTTGAAAGAAGAATCTGTTTAAAATGCTTGGCCAAGACACTTAAAGGTTCCGTGTTTAGTTAGTAAGTGGAAGCAAGTTGAAAGGATCTCATATTCCAATTCCTTTCTGGGCTCCCCAGCTCAATATCTGCTATTTAAGAGATCATTTCAAAACACAATTTGTAACTCATATTCTGAAGATATGTATTTCCACCTGGGCCAAAATTATTTAATTTGCTTTTATTCTATTTTTAAATTTTGTATGTATGTGTTTTACTGTTTGGCTGTGCACTGCCCTGAGTCCTTCGGGAGTAGGGCGGTATAGAAATAAAATAAAAATAAATAAATAAATAAATAAATAAATAAATAGACCAATTATCCAACTGTTTTTCTTCTATCCTTCTTTCCAATTGATAAGCTATGCTTTTATCTAGCAAACACCAACTTGCTTCTGACACAATACTTTCCTCTTCATTTTCCTCATCAATGGTTTGCTCCATGCTTCTCACTATCTTCATTTTGCTTGGGCGATATCCTTTATGACTCAAACTACTCATTAGCACTCATAATTTTGTTTTCTGTGGCATTTAAATATAGGTACGCTTTGCTCTTGTAATGTATCAACTGGGTTTTGGGCCACTATAACTTTTTTTTTTTTTAAAGCATTAATCATGTCATTTACAGATTATCCTTGACCTAAAACCACAATTGGGACTGAAAGTTCTGTCACTAAGCAATGATTGTTAAGTGAGCCGTACCCATTTTAACAGCCTTGTTTGCCATGGCCATTAAGCAAATCTGGCTTCCTCCCTCGACTTTGCTTGCTGGAATCCCAGTGAAGGTTGTAAGTGGTGATTGTGTGATCCCAAGCACTGCATTTGTGGTAAATTCCTGTTGGTTGCCGAGCACCTACATTTTTGGTCATGTGACCATGGGGACAATGACAGTTATAACTGTGAGGGCCAGTCGCGGGTCAGTCACTTTTTTTCAGTGTCAGCAAAGCTTTGAATGTTTGTTAAATGAATGATCATAAGTCAAGGACTACCAATAATAGAGACCGCATATCTCCATAATTGGCAATATCAGCATTTAGCAATATCATCATCAGACCTGGTTCTGTCAGCGGACCTGGGGAACCCAGAGCGGGATGCCCATTAAATGGCTCATGTGATCGGCTGTCGCTGGGGCGGGAGGTGGGGGTCAGGGGTGATTTTATTACATTATTTGATTTTTTATGAGTTTTACTTTTTTAAAATGTGTTTTTTTTATATTCTGTAAGCCGCCTTGAGTCACCATGGGCGAATAGGCGGCAATATAAATCTAATAAATAAATGTGGTATCTTCTTATCGTAAGTCTGTACTTCATTTTAATATTGGCCAAAGTATTTTTTATGTATTAGAGGAACTCAGACTATTCAGCAGCTTCAATTCCTCATCCAAATGATCTCCCAGTCTAATAACTGTTGTTGTTGTTAGTTGTGAAGTCGTGTCCGACCCATCGCAACCCCATGGACAACTTTCCTCCAGGCCTTCCTGTCCTCTACCATCCTCTGGAGTCTATTTAAGCACATGCCTACTGCTTCAGTGACTCTATCCAGCCACCTCATTCTCTGTCGTCACCTTTTTCTTTTGCCCTCAATCGTTCCCAGCATTAGGCTCTTTTCCAGTGAGTCCTTCCTTCTCATTAAGTGGCCAAAGTATTTGAGTTTCATCTTCAGGATCTGGCCTTCTAAAGAGCAGTCAGGGTTGATCTCCACTAGAACTGACTGGTTTGATCACCTTGCAGTCCAAGGGACTTGCAGGAGTCTTCTCCAGCACCATAGTTCAAAGGCCTCAATTCTTTGGCGCTCAGCCTTTCTTATGGTTCAACTTTCACAGCCATACACTGCAACTGGAAAAACCATAGCCCTAGCTATACGCACTTTTGGTGGCAGGGTGATGTCTGCTTTTTAGTATGCTATCTAGATTTGCCATAGCTTTCCTCCCTAGGAGCGGCTTTTAATTTCTGCAGTCCCCACCTGCGGTGATCTTGGAGCCCAGGAAAATAAAATCTGTCACTACCTCCATTTCTTCCCCATCCATTTGCCAGGACTAATAACTGTACTGTCTATGAATAATAGAATTTCAAAGTGCCCTGATGATTGTGAGCTGGTTCTTCAGAATATATTGTAGAGAGTAAGGAACACGACCTTGGCAGAGATAGGCAAGGACCATTACCTAGGCAAAAAGGGCTGAAGCAGTTTTTTTTTTAAAGTCCAGAACAAGGAGATAACATTTGGAAACACATCAGGCAGATTTCTCCCTAATTCAGTGAAGTATAAGGAGAAGAAAGAGGTACAGTGCAATCAAACTTTCAAGATAGAATCTTAAAAGCCATAAAATAAGCAGCCTTCCTATGACATTTCCTGGCCTGATCTAAGTACTAGGGCTGAAATATATACATCATATTGTTAAATCATTTCCCCCCCTTAGCATTTTCCCACAACAGCAAGGTCCACATTTTTCAAATCAACTGAGCATTGATCCATTGGTTGCAACAGGAATTGACCAACTGACTTGTTGATCAAGCCTGACATCATGGGCTGAGTTACTGGCCCAAAGCCTTCCAGGTAGCTTTCATGCTGAATGCAGTAAGAGAACTCATCGTCTCCTGCTTTCTAGTCTGGTGCCTTCATACTAGACCAAACTGACTCTCTCATATTGTTACATCAAATCCCTGATGAAAATATACAACCAAATTTCAGTTGATTTTGTTTCTACTAGAGCCTAATATATCAGGATTAAAAAAATATTATTATTACACATGGTCATATTTTAGACCAGGGGTCATCAAACCCTGGCCAAAGGCCAGAATTGAGCTGTGCAGGTGGGTGAGCATGCTCAGCTCCATTTGTGCAAGTGACAAGTGCACGCACCCATCACTTGAGTAAATGGAGCTGCTTGTGCGAATGCATGTGGCCACTGCTTATGCAGAACCTTTCTCCCCCCCACTCCCCCGCTGATCTCAAAGCCAGTAAGATTGGAGAGACCCCCGATTTAGACACAAGGTCACTTTATATAAAGTCAGTGATTCAAACTGCTGAATCTCAATTTATAATACAGCTCATATTTAATTACGCCTAGATAAGCACTCTATTGCAGCTTCTTCCCTACCTGCTCAACAAGAATTTACATCATGTAGTTCTCACTTTGAACAAAATTTGCAAAGCAGATTGGGCCTTAGCTATCCAAGCGTGAGCTCATTCTCTGAGATCCAAGCTGATTCCATTCTTTGACTTAGAGCAACAAGTAAACCAGAGATGTTTTTTAGAACTTTCTGGCCACTACTAGATGGCTATTTGAATTGCAATGTTATGGCATGATTATATATACGTTGATAAACAGTTGTGGTTTTTTTAAAAAAAAAATATTTTAAACAGCTACATTATTTGAGAGCTATAGATTTAAAAAATCCACAAAATTTGTAGTTTTTTTAAATGAACTAGTGTCAAGCAGGAAGTGGTTGACAAAATATAATCTAAAATTATTATTATTATTATTATTATTATTATTATTATTATTATTATTATTATTATTATTATTATTATCTGGAATGTGTGCCCAAGCATCATTTCAAGAAATATAAAGGTATTTAAAACAATATTCTGCTTGACTTTTCCTGGATATCTCATTTTTTTAGTAACTCTTCTTCCTTCCCACTCCCACATTCACACATAGTAGAGAGCAGAGCCATCTATGCATGGAACAATCCTTAACAGCTGAGAATGAGGCTCAAATTCTATCAAAGTCCCCAAAGCACTTGGTGCAAACTGACCCAAGGAAATTCTTGATGGACACTTAGATTAAAGGAGACTGTCATCCCCCCCCCCCCCCCCCCATCTGGCTTCACAGAAGATATTTCAGTTCTAGGAGAATCTTCTTACATGAAAATACTTTTCTGAAGGAAAATAAATCTAGCTAGGTACTTTCCCAAGGAATGACTTTTCAGATACAATCTGCTCAAAACATAGAAACCAATGAAACATTTTAATTCTCAGTCTAAGCGAGAGGGTGATAAAGGACAACTATTTTATCTAGTCAAATACAGATAAACTTATCTGCTAGTCATATTTATCTAATTTAATTAGCCGCAGGTTCTGTTTTATACCTTATCTCCTTCAAGATTTTAAGATGAGAACACAGGTTTTAAGTTTCTTTCACTTTATTTCATCATCTGTGCACCACACTTGATTTTAAGAGTGAAGATTCCCATCCCACCACGCTGCTTAATGCCGGTAGCAGCCATACTGTAAACTACTGAATATTTCAAAAATAAAAAGTGACACTCTGTTCGAGAAAGGACTAGAAGCCCCGCTTCCTAGGAGGAATGCATAAAACTTGAGAGAAGACAAATCCCAATGGTATCTTCAGTACAGGTCAGATCAGCAGGTGTCTCTTCAGCAGGTCAAGATCAAGAACTTCTAATGAAGAGAGCATCGTGGTTTATGTTTGGTGGCTCTTTCTGAGTAAATCTGCATCAACACCAAAGGCTTTTAATAAGCCACTCTATGGCTAAGGCATATCCAGAGAAAATATCATTGGTGAAAGACATCCAGCTTCTCTTCGGAACTGAGTCTTAGTCTGTAGGTATAGGTTTAGTAAATTCAACTGCACTAAGAAGACACTACAGCAGACCACCTGTGTGAGTATTTCCTCCAATTAATGTCCCAAGCTGCATTTTAGACTTGCTTGCCTTTAGACTTGCTTAGTCAGAAAACTAATAAGTCCCTTCTTTCTTGTATTGTTTCATGTGCTTTAGGATGCCGGCGGCAATTTCCAAGTTGTTCTTATTTTGGCCAAAATAATCAACAAATTGGCCATCAGGCCCAACAAGGTACATTATGATAGTGTGATCGACCTGCAAGAAAAACACACACAAAGGAGATGGAGATAAAGTTGAAATTCTGAGATTAGATAATTCTGCTAAGTGTTAAATTGTATCTGTGACTGAACTATTACCCAGTTCTAGATTTCTAATAAAGGCTTTAATAGGGAGTCAAGAAAGTACCACAATATATATACACTGCTCAAAAAAATAAAGGGAACACAAGCAGAAGACATCCGAGATCTGAATGAATGAAATAGCCTTATTAAATACTTTGTTCGTTACATACAGTAGTTTTGTGTTCCCTTTAGCTGTTTGAGCAGTGTATAAACTACTGTATGTAAAGAACAAAGTATTTAATAAGGCTATTTCATTCATTCAGATCTCGGATGTCTTCTGCTTGTGTTCCCTTTATTTTTTTGAGCAGTATATATATCTTCAGCAGTAAATGTGAGAATACATTAAAAAAAAAAAAAAGGCAGAGCCCCATACATCTCATGTTAAGACCACAAAAGCAGCCAAGCCCTATATAAGAAGTGTGAGTGGGGAGGAAACCTACCATTTTGAACTGCTGTGTGTTTGGCAAAAGGTAGGCTACCTAGAACCAAGCTTTTCCCATCATCTAAATCTAAAAATTAAGTAAAAATCCAGGAGCATGGGAAAAACAATTCAACATCTTTTGTAAGGCACAAGAACAGTACTGAATTTCTTGGGGCAGGTCAAGAACAGCAGCAAGAAGTCACTTTAAAAAAGAAAACAAATTAAAAATAAAATACTATTTTCTCATGAGCAAACTACTCATTTTGGGTGAATCAAAGTGAGTACTAGAGCCTAAAACTAATACCTTGGAGGTTTATACTTTAAAGTATGTGTAGGAATATTTAGACTAATAAAAATGCCTATTTCCAACAACAAAGGCTGAAGTTATTCTATATGGTACTTGCCTTTCATGGCAATTGTCATTTATTATCTGGCGCCCTCTCCTGTCTCTCTTTTGATACTTGCTCATTTTTATCTTCTTGTTAAGCCTTGTTCAAGCTCAAAAGCTAAGCACTAAGGGGCCTGCTGAGCAGTTGGATGGGAAACCATCAGTGCAGGTTGGACTGAAAAGCTGAAACAACGCCAAAGGTGACAATGGGTTTGTATGCTAAAGTTGCATCAATGTGTCACCAAAGTTATCAGCTGAGCCATACTCTTAAAATGTCTTCACTTTTTAAAAACAATTATCCAACTCTATAATACATTAGAAACCATTTTAAAAAACTTAATGCCTAGAAAAATTCAAAGACCTGTCCAGGCAGTTACCAGGAGTCAAGACTCAAAGGCATGCATGCAGAAAGACATAAGCCTGAACTGAATTTTTCAAATCCCAACATGGCCTTATTAAAAATTGCTATGAATACTGAAACCAACCTCAGTATCAAAGAATAATGTTTTCAGTTCTACTGTTGACAAGGTCTTTTCTGATTTATTTTTTCTTGCTCAAGTTTAAAATAAGAAATGTTCCAAAAAATGTTCCTCAACATAAAGGAAGATCAACAAACTGCAGCTTCCCATCAATCAGAAAAAAATCACTTGGCCAAATACTATCTTCTCACAAAGAAAGTCTTCTGTTCAGAACACAGTGCATAGTCACCTCCCATGATAACTGCCATTTCCATTTAGATCTATTTTGTCAACTTCATTCAGAAAAATAGCTCAGTTGTAGGCCAAACATTCTCAGCTTCCCTCCCAATGTTTTCCAATGTTTTGTATACTTCTAGGGCTGTTTTGCTCACTGCTCATTCACATTTTGTTGATTCAGTGACCCATAAAACATCCCTCTCAGGCGAAAACATTTACCTATTGATCGGAAAACACATACAAAATGTACTTACTATGTAATCATTATCCTCATCTCTGGGACCTGGGCTGTAGTAGACACGATAAGCTCGAGACACTTGATCAATCTGTTCTTTTGTACCGGTCAATCCAATCAATTTTGGTGAAAACTCTTGAAACATAAATAAATCAATAAGATCCAATGCATTAAAAAGGGGTTAAAAAGTAAACTTGGTCTGAACTGCAAGTTAAACTGGAATCAGTATAGAGGGGTCAATAAAAAGGAAGGCTAAGGTTACCTTTAACGTATTTGGCAATGGCTTCTTCACTGTCCCTCTCTGGATCAATGGTGATGAAGAGTGGAGTGACATTAGGCAAAGATGCGATCCTATCTGTCATAATAAAAGATAATACTTAATCCCCAAGCAATCAGCCTCAAGACTGTTTTTTTGTTCAAGCTTTTAATTTAATCCCCTAGATTAAATTTGATAACCCTGAACACAACAACCTGTACCCCTTCTCAATCTGTTCAAGTCTATACATAGTCAGCTTCTCCCGGGTGTTGATTTAAACTTTTTATGTGTTTTGATACATTTTGGGCAGGCCTTAAGGGATGAGATGAATTTAGCGACAGGATTTAGCTTCCCTGAAGTCTCAACTAAAATCTTGGATGAAAGATAGAATGAGGATGAATTTTTACAGATATTGGTAGTCTCAAATCCACTGTACTCTTTGAATACTGACAAACTGGCTAGGTAACATTGTTATGGTATGAAGTCAAGGTTAGACAATAAAAAATTATGAATGTACAATAAAAGGCAGGATAAAAGGCAAAATCTCAATGAATTTTTATGGTAGACTTAAATTTTAATTGAAGTCAGGATCAAGTTTTACGGCAAAGTGTATGGCAAATATTTCACAGGTGATAAGGTGAGGCCAACATTGAAATTCCTGGAACTCTATTCTAAAAATGTAAGATGAGGGTATGTTGCTTAGACTCTGTTAGTCTTGCTCTGATGTTAAAGTTGGTAAAGAATATTGTTAATATTACTATGAAGTTAGTGTAAGTATTAGGATACACTGACATCTATGCTAAACCCAGTATGATGGCGAGTATGAATTCTTTGTTAGTTCTAATCTTTGTTTCTCAAGTGTATTATCAAACTGGGAATTACTACTGTATTACTCTTAGTGGGAAATCTTTATGGTTAGGTTACATCTTACTATCAAATTAGTAAATTTAATTTGTTTAAATTCCAAATGATCTATAGTAAATATAACCATGATTAATAATATTATATTGAATTTATATTTAGTCTTAGACTGATGTCAGGATTGAGTAGTCAGGAAAAAATTTTGGGAAATTTTTTTTAGCACTAGAGTGAGATTAAAGTAAGACTTCCTTGAATTCTATTAAAAAATAACAAGAGCGTTGGGATCAGGGATAATCTATATGAATAATGGTAGTCTTACGATCATATTACAATTAGGATTAAATGATTGAGCACTAGTTAGGACAATTTTTATTTCAAAAATATTTATTTCATTTGACTGAGCAACTTATGACCTATACAGTGAATTTAGAGTTAAGCATCTTTGAAATCTATGTGGAAAACTAGTGTGATAGTTTGAATTTTTATGGTTAGTGGATAGCCTTAGATTTTGCTTCCATTTAATATTGAGCTTTTGGCAATGATTAGGCTTAAGCTTCTATTAAAGTCTAAACAAAAACTCACAGAAGAGTGAAGATGAAGCTGAAAAGTTTAGTGACTAAGATGAGAAAAAGCTGCTCAAGTGTCAATTTAATTCAATCCAGCTGAAAGAAGATGCTCTTCTAAGATGCTTTTATGGACAAATAAAACAGTACACTACTGAACTCCTTTTCCTACTAAACATGACTCCTTTTCCTTGCTGTTTCTTATACAGAGATTTTCCTTTCTAAACATCGGCACCAAGTCTTTACTTTCCTATACTATACATTTCCCTTTCATCCATGTTTGTTGAATATAGCCAAGTTTTAAATGATTGTAAAATCTTTCTACACAGATTATTTCCTCCTTTATTTGATCTCTCTCCCACCACCTGCTCTCCATAAACTCTCTGGTAAGAGGGAGTGGTTAAAACAGGCCCAAGTCATAAAAAGGTAATCCTGAGTCACAATCATTTCCTGGTCAAGAAAAGGACAGGCTGACTGTCTCACATAGAGAATTATTCCAGTAACTCTGGACTTGGGTCATGTTAAAATCCAATCAAATTAAAAGTTCAGGTTTCAGCAAGATTTACTTACCAACTTCATCCACTGCTAGCATCATTTTTTCCAGTTCCTCTGGACAAATGTCAGGGCAATGTGTAAAACCAAAGTAGATTAAAACCCACTGGCCCAGATAATCACGATCTGATTTCGGTTGTCCATGATGATCAACAAGTGAGAAAGGGCCTCCTAACAAAGGCTTTCCGATGGATCGGATACTCTCTCTCTCCAATGCTAAAATTTGATCACAAAATTAGATTATTTGCCTGGAGCTTTGACAGAAGAAAATCTTAAGATTTCAACACAAATTCCTACACGTACATTCCTAATTCTTCATCTTTTCTTTTCCTATCTGAGAGACAATTTAAAATGTGTCTCTTCTTAGAACCTGTTTGGGTTTGTTTTTGTTTTATCTATCTTGGCGGTAAAAGCTTCCAGCATCTTTCAAAATCTCTGCAGAAAATGATTTAAGATCACTTGTATTCTGTCTTGTTGGGTTTAGATTCAGGGGCTTTAAGTAAGATAGCTCCTGAAAGCATTTCAATAAATGCTTGTACATTTACTGTTTCAGCTGCTTTAATGATTTTTGAAGCAACCATTATAGCACCCCAAGTTTACACCATAGCAGAGATTTTATCGCTTAGTATAATTTGGACAAGGATTTTTTTAAAAAATATTTACGATACCTATACACGCGTAAATCAATTTAAGATAAGGACAATAAGCAGAAGTAAAAAACCATGACACATGTTTAGGCAAATCTCAGGGTAGTAAAAAACAATTATAATTATCAAAAATGTAGACTTATTTGTACCACTCCTTCATGTGCTTGGATCACAACTCCCAGAATTCCTAGCCAAACCCAACACATCTGGAAACCACCAGTTTAGAAAAAATCAAAACTACCGAAGAGCCACTATTGGCTATATATGCAATTCTTTCCATAACCCATCTCTACAAGGCAATAATTTTAAAAAAAAACAATAGAATGACTGCAAATAATACCCACCTGCTTTTTTCTCTTTCTTCAAATATTTCAGTATTCCTAGCAACCCTCCTCCAATCACAGCCGTGACTGCTAAACTCTTCCAAGTTACTGGCTACTGGGAAAGAAGAGAACACGAAACGTTCATCAATAAATGCTTTCGCGCCAACCCGAGCCCATTTTTCATATGAGCGCTAATCGTGTGACGTCTCGTGGTCTATCCTTACTTCTCCCCGCGCTTTTAAATTTCTCCCCTATTCTGGGCTGAACCAGTTTATTTTCAGCCTGTATGAGGACAATCAAAGGCAAGATGAGGAGAGGCGGAGGGGCGGAGGGGCCCCCTTAAGCCCAACGATTCACATCACATGGACGAGGACTCCGCAACTTTGAGCAAGTTAAGAGCCTTGGTGGCGCAGCAGACTAAAGTGCTGTTAAGTAGCACCAGCTGCCTGCAATTACTGCAAGTTCAAATCTCACCAGGCTCAAGGTTGACTCAGCCTTCCATCCTTTCGAGGTAGGTAAAATGAGGACCTGGTTTGTGGGGGCAATAAACTGACTTGGTATAAAAAAGAACACCGCTTGGGGGGGGGCGAAAGCCCTACTAAGCAGGTATATACAAAAGTATGAAGGCTATTGCTTAACGCATTGTAAGCCACCCTGAGTCTCCGGAGAAGGGCGGCATATAATTCGAACCAATAAATAAATAAATAAGTTCAGCCGGAGGCGATTCGGCCAAGTGTCATTTTTCCAGCTTCGCAGACAGATCCGCGATCCCGACCGAAGCGCCCTCTTCGCCCAAGAAGGTGAGGCCAATTAACAATGTATAGCGCGGAACATATGAAGAGCGGTTCGGTTGCATATTTGGGTACTCTAGAGAAAAGGACAACTAAGGATGACCTGATAACAGTATTCCAGTATTTGAGAGGTTGCCACAAAGAGGAAGCGGTCAACTTATTTTTCAAAACACCAGAGGGCAGGACAAGAAACAATGGATGGAAACTAACCAAGGAAAGATGCAACCTGGAATTAAGGAGAAACTTCTTAACAGTGAGGACAATTAACCAGTGGAACAGCTTTGCCTTCAGACATTGTAGTGCTTCATCACTAGAGGTTTTTAAGAGGAGACTGGGCAGCAATTTGTATACAATAGTATAGGATCTCCTGCTTGAGGTAGAACTAAAAGACCTCCAAGGTCCCTTCCAGCTCTATTCTGATTAAGATTTGCGCGCAAAGGCGCCCAAGCGAAGGCCTCTCCCCGGCGCCCAGCCACCGGCTTCTCCCACCCTGACTTCTACAGCCGGAATGCCTCACCCCAGGTTTCTTGAAGCCCTTTCGCCTGCTCGTGGGTGGGGTGACAAGGGACCGAACAGGACCGCAGCGCCGGAAGCAACACGGTGGAAACGCTGGATGTTTGCAAAGGGCGAGCGAGGCCAAGCGAACCCGCATCGCTCCTGCCATCCTCCCTTCCCGGACTCAACAAAACAGCACGCCCGGCATGAATTTCCGGGACAGACCGGCGTCCTGGCCCTGCATTGGCTTCAAGGGTGTCACATGGCGTCCCGTACACTCCGAGGGCCGCAAGAGGCGCTTGTGTTTCCTTTTAGGCTGCCTACGGTTTGCACGAAGAAGCGGCTCCCTATGAAATTCAGTCCTTGTCGATGTACTTACATGCTGCTTCTCGTTCGCCTGTCTAATCGAAATCACAATAGACGGATTTAAAGGCGTTAAGGCAGCTTTGGAAAGGAGAGAGGTATTATCAGGTATTATCGAGGCTTTTTTTTATTGTTCTTCTTTTTCTCTTAAGAGGGATGGAGATCTTCTCTTTCTAACTTCTTTTGAATAGTAGTCATAACACTGGTAAAAGAAAGTTGGAGGAATCCCAACTTTTCATTTTTCCTTCTGTTTGAAAACAAGTGGATTACAGGATTCAAGCGTTGTCATTTTGGAAAAAGTCCATCTTTTCCACTTAAAACAAGCGTAGGGGGGGGGGGGGGGAACCCTGCAAGTACATCCATTGCCAACCTGCCAAGCATTGATTTCGGGTGGAAACAAATTAAAGCGAGTTTAAGCCCAGCTTCCAGCTTTTCTCGATTCCCATCCAATTTACCAATTGCCCACTTTTGACCGGGAAGAAAGAGAGAGAGAGAGGAGATAATAGGATAGGAAAGAATCGGAGACGATCTCTTTGCAGCACCTAAGAGTAGCTCCCGCAACGCCGCGCAGAGTTTACAGTTATAGCTCTATGGCGAAAGAAAGGAAATGAAATCACTTCCTTCGGCTTTTTTTAATGCCTTTTTTTTAAAACTGAGGGAAAAAAACCCACCCTGAAACGTCAAGCAACGCTTGTATCCAAAGTAACCATACTTAGGTTCAAATGCAAGACTAACAGAAACATATGTGCGGGTGCCTAACTGGAAATCTTCAGATGGAAAATGTAAGTAATCTGTAGCACTTTTGACCCAGAGGGTTTTCCTACTCTGTTGCAGAAAAGGAAAAGAGGAAAACAGAACAAAAGTTCGTTTACGGCACACAAAAGACTTCCCCAAATCTAGGCTTGGATCTGTTTGAAGAAACATGCAACCTGGTATTTCCCAGGATTCTTACAATTGCCACAATCCTCAAGGCTATGCTTGTCTGGAGATTATGGAAACATCTATATACCTAAAGGTTTATTATCATAATGGTCATACAGTCAGCCAGATGTTCGTACTGAATTTGGCATTTTTTTACCCACCTGTCAATCTGGTCTACCAAGGACCTGGGATAGGCAGATGTTGTTGTCTATGGCAAAGCTGGTTGGGGAATTCTGGGAGTTGAAGTCCGCCAAGCTTAAAGTTGCCAAGGTTGGAGACCCTTGGTTTATGGTACTATATTGGAAGCCATAACATGAAAGTATGCAATCATGTTAGTTATAAGTTATAACCAGGAGCCTGGATAGCTCAGCAGACTAATGCATTGTAATTTAACTCCAGCTGTCTGCAATTAGTAAGTTCGAATCTTGCCAGGCTCAAGGTTGACTCAGCCTTCCATCCTTTCTCAGGTAGGTAAATTGAGGGCCCAGTTTGTAGGGGCAATAAGCTGACTTTGTAAAAATATACAAAAGTATGAAGGCTATTGCTTAACGCATTGTAAGCCGCCCTGAGTCTCCGGAGAAGGGTGGCATATAAATCAAATTAAAAAAAAAAAGTTATTAGCTATCCCAGGCTTTGATAATGAAGACTGCATACATGTGTATTTACTTCCGGTAGAAGTACAATTATGTTCAGTTACTAGTGATTCATGAATATATCTATGCTATGAATATATCCATGGCAATACTACTTTGCTATTGTCTTCTTCGACAATAATGTACAGTATACATTGCTTTTGGTTTTCCAGACTAACCCAAGGCTTTGTTGTTTTCCAGAGCTCCCATCTTAGTACTAATCTACTTTAAAAAAAAAAAAAAACAACTACAGATAGTCTTCTGTTTATGACTATTGGTTTAGTGACCATTCAAAATTACGATGACGTTGAAAAGAACTGATTTTGATTGCTCTTCACCCTTATGATTATCAAAACATCCCTGCGATCATGTGATCAAAATTTGGCCACTTGGCAACTAGCATGTACTTAAAACAGTTGCAGTGTCCCAAGGTCACATGCTTGCCATTTGTGACCTTCCCAGACACCTTCCAATCAGCAAAATCAATGAGGGAAGCCACATTTCTTTCTTTTTTTAATTAGTATATAATATAAAATACAAAAACTAAAATAATTGGAAGAATAGGGGAGGAAAAAGGGAAGGGAAAAGTGTAGAAAGGAAGGGGAAAAGAAAGAAAAAGAATTGACTTCTGACTCCCTTTGATGCAGTAGTATCTATATAAATAAAAATGTAAATGTCCGTTTGTACATAATCACACCTCTCCGAAAGTTCTTCACCGATTGCTTTCAAATTTTGACACAACGTTGCATTCGACTACGGGCGTATTTTTATATACCTATATTATATACATGTCACACCTGTGACAGGCAAAAACATGAAAAACATTGAAAGACATTGACAAACATTGAAAAACAGCGCTATCTGCTGGATGTAAAACCAACATGGCAGCCTCCCAGCCCTGATTATGCTCAACAGATTTCTGCTCCTTATATTTAGACTCTCCATATTGCTTCCAGAGACGCCCGAAGGCCATGTCCTGCCACCAAGGTCGGCAGGTAGGCAGCTGGCTCCCTGCCGGGAAGCCTTCGCAGGCTGGGGCTGGGCGGGACCCGCCCAAGTCTGGCTCTGACTTCCCCCTCCCCCCATGAACTAGCCTCGCCCGCCGCTGCTGCCCATCCCCCTCACCAGCCACTCTCGGGGCTCCCACCAAAGAACACCTGGCAACGAGGCTGCCTGGGTCCGCCGAGCGGGAACCCTCTGTCCCTCACCTGGCCCGGATCGCATCTGGCCCAGCGCTACCACGGACCCCGAGGTCAGAAAGACCAGCCACTAACCGGCGCTTTGCGAATCCGGTCGGTGAGCGGGAGATGGAAGCAACTGGAGCCTCAGGGTCGCCTTTGACCAGCACCGCCTTTGATTCCCAGGTGGATGCTCTGGCAGTTCACGGAGCCTACAAGAAAATTCCAGCCTCTAGCAGAAAAGGGGCTCTGGGGAGGCTTCGGGGGCGGAAATGGGCAGGAGGGAGGGTGGCCGGCCCTCCTTCATTTCGCCTGGAAGAGCGGGGGATTTAATCATTCTCCTGTCCTTGGCAGGCGGGGGAGGAGAACTGTGCAGCAGGGGTCCAGTGGGGTGTGCGTGGCTCCTGGCTTTGCCACTTTCTTCCTTCAAGCAGGAAGCCCCAAACCAGCCTCAAACCCCCGCCGCACCCCCTCCCTCCCTCCCTTCCCTTCCCTGCTATGCATCTCCCCGTCGAGCCCCCAGAGAACATCTGTGTAGGGAGGACGGAGGGGCCTCCCAAGTTTCTGCTGTGGTGTGGAGAGCTGCAAAGACCTGGCCTGAAAAGGTAAGGGCGATGGCGGGGGATGCAGAAGAGACCGGGCCAGAGACAGAGAGAAATACAGAGAGACGGGAGGGGGGGGGAGAGAGACACACACAGAGATACAGAGAGAGAGGATGGGAGAGAGAGAGACAGAGAGATACAGAGAGAGAGGGTGGGAGAGAGAGAGACAGAGAGATACAGACGGGGGGAAAGAGAGAGACATAGAGAGATACAGACGGGGGGGGAGAGAGAGACATAGATGGGGGAGAGAGAGAGGGAGGTTTTTTAGCAACCAGTTCTCTGCCCTAATCACCAGCTGGGTAGGCATGGCTCGGGGGCTGTCATGTGACTAATGAAAGTGAGTGACGTCGAGTTGGCCACAACCACCAAATGTTCGTGGAGAGTTTGGAACTTCAGCCTCGTTCTTTTAGCCTAGCGGAAGCACCAGACTGGGCCACAGCAGTGTGTGGCCGGGTACAGCTAGTAAGATAATAATATCAAGAGTCCAGCTTTTTACTTTGAAATAATATTATAAACTAGCCATTTCTGTATCAACAAATCTATCTAATCAGTAAAACCCAAAATCAATATTTCATTTTTTTCCCACCTCAGCTTGCTTCCAACAAGCAAAAAACAAAACAAAAAAAAGCCATATTTCTTAATGATTGCATGATTCACTTAAAGACAGCAAAAATGTCGTAAAATCAGGCATGACTCACTAAACTATCTGTAGTACTGCTTCTTGGCTTGGCCATGTACTAATAGTGACAGTGTTGTGTTCTTAATAGGCTTATGTAGACTTCTGCTGAATATGGTTTTCCTAGTCTAAACTACTGGTTTGACAGAATACAAATTGATAAGATTGCAAGCAGTTTTCTTATATAAATCTGGGAGAAAAAGAACTGTATATCAATGCAGTTTTAATTTGTGCCGTTTCAAATATATTCTATCTTCATGAAATACGATTTTCTGAAAAGATCATCAGGTCCATCAAAAGCCGTAAAGGAGTCCTACAGACTTGCATGTTACCTCAGCAGATTTACCATCCAAACAATTCATCTGTTTTTTTCTTCCTTCTCTTAGTTCTAAGCAAGACTTTTTTGCAAAATGGATGCAGGATCTACAAGAACAACATCTGAAGCCCTCTTCTCCTTTGGAATCATAGCAGACATCCAATATGCTGATATAGAGGATGGTTATGATTTCCTGGGATTTAATAGGAGATATTATAAGCGTAGCCTAAACTGTCTCCAGAAGGCAATTGAAGATTGGAATCGAACTGAGGTTCAGTTTGTAATACAGCTTGGAGACATCATTGATGGCTTCAATGCCCAACATAAGACATCAGAGAAAGCACTGCAACAAGTTATGAAGGAATTTAAGAAACTCAGTGCACCAGTCCATCACATATGGGGCAATCATGAATTGTATAATTTCAGCCGGAATTATCTTATGGAATCTGAACTGAATACCAAGTACTTAGAAGACCAAAGTTTGTTTAATAACTTTATCAAAGAACAGAGTTCCACAGAAAACCCAACTACAGAATTCTTTTATGCTTACCAATTTTCTCCAATGCCTAAATTTCGATTCATTCTTCTTGATGCGTACGACTTAAGTATTCTGGGGAGGGAAACATCCACAAAAAAATATAAAGAATCTCTACAGCTGCTACAAGACAAAAATCCGAATGAAAACCTGAATAGTCCACTAGGTATTATATTCTGCTAAACATAATTGTTGCACATTTTTACAGGTCTGGTTTTGTATGGATGAAAAAAATTGCTATTAACGAATATGAAGATACCTCCATATATTCTTTTAGGGAACAACTACTCATGTTAAATCTGTCATACCAAGTTTTATGATAATCTTAACACGAACCCATTTATTATAGGATCATAAGTGGTCTTATTTTCTTAATATTCCTTTAAAGTATATGGCAAGGACATCACCCCCGTGGAATCTTCATTTCGGAACGCCAACTTTTTCAGACAAAGTTCCACAAAATTAAGCTAGGCAATAAAGTATTATGACATTTATGTAATCTCCAATTAAGAAAGGGGAGGTAGAGCTATATTTAGTACCTACAAACATTGATGTGTTTTGTATGACTGCTGCAGTATTAATATCATATTTTCAAATATTAAATGATATTTTATTATTTTTTTATGCAACCTGATTAAAATATCAATAGAGACAATGGCTTATTTCTACCTCCAGGAAACTCAGTTGAAGCAAACTTTTTTTAAATCCCATTTTCTTCATTTACTAGGCTTAGTTTGATCCTTTAAAGTGAGGGACACCTTGCTTTTAACACACATTTCTGGAATTGACAATTATTCGTTCATTCTTCATAAAAAGTGCATTTCAAACTAAAAATATTGCTTGTGAGTTTGTGGTACTGGTATATGACCATAATTAAATTTGTTGCTGCTATATAGCTTCCCATCTTTTTTTTTTTTTTACAGGGCTTGCTGAATGCAATTTTGTACAGTTCAATGGTGGATTCAGTCAAGACCAGCTGGATTGGCTTGATAAAGTTCTTACCTATGCTGATGAGAATCAAGAGAGAGTTGTGATTGCAGGTATGGCTGTATTTTTTAATAATTAATACTATTGGGGACAGAATAAAATCTGAATATCTCTGGTTTTACCATTCCGACTAGGGATGTGTTCTCTGCTGGTTTGGAGTGTTTGCTGCCTGGACTGAACTGCGTATGTTTGGAATACTTCAGGGAAGGAAAGGAGGTGGGAAGATCAAGAGAAAGACCAGTGGGATACACTTTGCTGGGACACCAGTTATAGTTAAAGGGGCAGAGAGAACATACAGGAAAAATTGGGGGGCAGGCTTGCCTCTCCCCCCTCTCCGGGATCTGCATAGTAGAGAAAGGAAGTAATAAGTATTTATTTATTTAGGAAATTCATTTGCCGCCCATCATATATCCAACAACTTTGGGCGGCTTACAGCATAATACATTAAAGCAGAAAAGACATTAAAATCAACATAGTACATAGTAAATAAAACCATTGACAATTTGTTAATCCTCTACCTGCATTTCCCGAGTTTTTGGCTGCTGACCTGAAACAGTGTGACACAGACCTAAACATGTAAATGAGTTTTGTTTTGAGTTGAAACAACAAATTTTCACTTACAGCCATATTACTAGTTCTGTGAAACTCTTTCTTGAACCTGATTTAATGCACCTAAATGAAGACACGTAACAACAGACTGTGACCCAAGAGAGAATAAACAAATATTCCGTTATTTATTATTTTGTATCTTGCAATCTAAGCTTTCCCAAAAAGGGGAAAAAAGAATTGGAAAAGCAGCCTAATTACTTCTACTGTAATTTCCAATATTGCTTCTTTTGAACATTTTAATGATTAGAAGTTTAAATCAATGTTTACAATGTAAATTGTAAAAAATATGTCTATTTCTGCATTTACTTGTCTATCAGATATTTAAAGAAGAATTCTGAATATTCCCAGGGCAAGTGTTTCACTTTTGTGAGTTCAATACTCCTACACCAGTGATGGGTTGCCCCCGGTTTGCACCAGTTCTATAGAACCGGTAGTAAAACCGGCGGGAGGCTCCACCCAATTACCCCGACATCATCAAAACGCTTCTGCGCATGCGCAGAAGCTTCTGCACTTGCACAGAAGAGTGTGTGAGCGCGTGGCCCCACTGTGAACTGGTAGTAAACGTAAGTAGAACCCACCCCTGCCGTACACTGAATTCTATTCTTCTAATATTCCATAAGTATTTGGGTATTATTCCCATGTTACAAATTGGAAGGCAATGTAAGAATTGGCAGCTTTCAAATTTACATAAGGAACTACGATTTGAGCTGAGGATATCCAATTTTAGTGAGGCCCTGTGGAATGTTATACTTTCACGTGTGAACAAAAATGATGGTATTTCATTTATTCTGAGTGCATTTCTTCTTGTACTGCAGGACACATACCCATCAACCCGGACTGTACAAGCAGTATTTGCCTGGCTTGGAATTATAAAGATGTCCTTGCTGTCATTTATTCACATCACTCAGTAGTATGTTTTCTTGCAGGCCATCTTCATTATGGTAGTTACTGTTTAGATTTTCACGGAGTCCATCACCTGACACTTGAAGGGATTATAGAAACTCCTCCAGAAATCAATGCTTTTGGAACTATATATGTCTATAATGACAGACTGGTGTTAAAGGGAAATGGAAGAATTCCAGATAGGGAAATGCATTACAAAGATCATCCACACAATTCTCCATTTTAAATACTATTGTGTTGGTGTGGGTTAGAAATTGCTATTTTTCCAACTGTTTTTAATTAAAACACAGTTTTAATATTCGATAATGAATAGTGAATAAAGCTATGAAAAACATTGTATATATACATTTTTTAAACAACAGCAACAAAAAGGTCCTGTTAAACTAAATTTATCTCATAGTATGTTGTAGTAATTATTTGCTAAAAGTTTACTCTCATATGTTTCCTCTTTGGAGAATTACACTGTCAACATTAAGTCTCACATGAAAAGTGAATGGAAGCTCTGTTTGCTGATATGAAGACTGGAAATTAATATATTGGATTAACATCTGTAATATTAGAATAAAATAATGTTCTATTTAAAACATTTCCTACCATTATGCTTCTCTCTTTTCTCTCTCTTGAAATGATACCACCACTTTAACCAAAGAATAAATTCCTGACTGGAAGAATGGAGAATGAGACTGTCAAACTCATACACTCTGTTCAATTTAAAATGAGTTGTAGAATTATCAACATCCAATTAGATGCAAGGGTTTATTGACCAAAAAACAAAGTGCTAATAATGGAAGTTCTTGCTATTCCATATCAAGATTAGAATCTCTATATTTGAGCTGCAAAAAGCCAGACAGTACTGAACAGCAGAAAATAGTTTTCTAGGTCTATTGCAAACTCATAGTTATCCAAATATATGTAGTCCAGATATGGTGGCTGTCTTTAAAACACAGGCTTTAAGTTAAAACAGCTGTGAAGAATAATTTATAGAGAAATGAGCCTAGCACTACATCAAATGCTTCTCCATATTTTAATCTATGGTTTATTAAATGGAATATGACATTCTGTTATGGATTAAGATTTGTGTCAACCTGCAAAACGACTTCAGCTGAAGCCATGCTTGCTTTGGTTTTCTTGGTTGCCCTTCAAGGGGAGGAGGGATTTAGCCTCAACTAGCTAGCCATAACATCTACCAGGCGGTGTGAGAACCAAGGTCATGTCAACAGACAGCTGTCGAAGTTGGGCAGGAATCTACATCTGGACTGATTGGTCCATGTGACCTGAAAGACATGGGGTGGGAAGGTCTCATTCTTTTAACTATCCCTAAGCGCGGGAATAATTTAGAGCTAGCTTCACCTTTCTATTCGCAGATATGATGTACTCAATAAAGGATTTCTTGAATCTGAACAAAGTGTCATAGTCTCAACTTCCTGGAGTTCATTACTCGGAACGATGACAAATTGTATGTTAATCATCCAAATAGTGTAGATATATGTATAGAAGCATGGATGGAATTTCAGAGACACCGGATACATCTTTATCAAATTATTAATATATTTATTTACATTTCATAATTACATAAAACATATAGTTCTTCCAGTAATGTCTGGCTACAGTCCTGTGGCTTCAACATGAGGCTCAGAGGCACTTTGATTTATTCAGCCCAACCCCTTGCATGTATCAAGAGCACACAAATAAAATGGAAATCATGAAACAACTGGCCTTAAAGCAGTTGAAAACAAAGGTCATAATCCAGAGTTCAGTTTTCTGGATTGTCAGTCTTCAGAAGTACTTTAGAGAAACTGGTCTTCATGGGAAGTAATTAGCCTTAATTGTGGTTCCTGTTCATTTGGCATCAGTAGAGAAATAACCTCTGAAGTAATGAAAACACTTTATGCTTTCCATTATTTTAAATAACAGTTTTACAGTGAGATGGCCATGATGCTCGCATTTCTGTATTCACATAGATGTATAACCACATTACAAAAGGAGAAAGACAGAGGAAAATTGCAACGACCAAATGAAATCCACCCAGGGAATTTCTGGAAAGAAACAGACAGTGTTTGCTGAAATACAATCCAATTCAACCCAATCAACAGGAACTCACAAATATGAATTATTCTTGGTTTTGTAAAACTACATTGACATGATTTCTGGAACTGATAAAGAAGTTATACAGATAGTCCTCACTTAGTAACCACAATTGGGACTGGCAACTCTACCACTAAACTAGAACTCCAGTCTCCTCACTCAACTACTTGAGCAAAATTCAGTTGTCTATGTTAAATACAAACCAAGGACTAAATAATTTGCTTTTCTCTTTAAAAGAACTTAATCTCCAACTATAACAAGACCACAAAAATCAGTCGTCCTTGGCACAGGATTATAATATATTTGTCAGGGTAAGCACAAGTTTTCAATGTATTACTAAGCTGGATTTGGCAAGTTAAAAGACTCACTTGGCTGAATTACGACAAAGGCTCATCCAGGCAGTAACAATCACCAGACCAAATAACTCCCTGTTTTTAATCAAAGACAACTGTGTAAATTACACAAAATTGATCCCACAAAATAAAATATGCAAAGAAAGACTCTGCTTATAGTTACAACAGCATTAATTCTGTTTAGTACTAAACAAGCACATACTTACTGAAAGAATATACTGGCAATTTAAGACATGAAAAAAATACTACTTGAGGAAAATTTGCCATATTTTAATTTCTTGGGAGTATTAACACAATCCCATCAAAGTCAAAGTTTGATAGGGAATGCAAGGTACTTCCATTTTAGGCAAGAGGTATAAGCACTTTACTTGACTTGGGCAATATCCAATCAATGTCATATATTCTTACATTAAAACATATATACATCCATTATAATAAGATTGGTTGTAGTCTGGTTACATTCAGCATCTTTACAATAAAATATGACATTCTACTTAAACATAAAAAACTAGATTAAATAGCAATTACAGACGAACCTGAAAAAACCATTAAAAAAAATCAAACTATGTTCAATGCTTTGTATCAAATGTTACTAAGCTCAGATTGCAAGATAAAGTTTTCTAGGATTTCCTTCTATTAATTTTCTTGGCACATCAAAATATATCATGTGTTTCAGGAATTTGTTCTAGGGATTTCAAAGCTTTAAATCATTCTAATTCCTTAGATCTAGGATAGTTTAAGGCTCTCACAAGTGTTAAGGATGAGAACTATGGTGATCATGAAAATACGAATTAATGCAGAAAAGATCTCATTACTTACCTGCCTTCTTCCTCGTGCAAGATGTTATTTTGAGCAGTAGTAACCAAGGCATATCCCAACACAGCAGAACCCACGACACAAGCAGCTGAATGTAGATCTGATATACTTCTCCACAGAATGTTATCTGGAAAATGTGGTGAGTTATTTGTACAAATCACAATGGAATTTGCACATTGAATTCATTTGTCTTGATCAATCTCTTCAAGAGCCTTCAAACAACAATTGCAGAGAAAAAATTCTTTAGATTTGGGATTTACTGCATTAATCGAATCATCAAACAAGAAGAATATTTTTCATGCATGTTGAAATATCTAAAACAGCTGTATTTTGAAAATTTAAAATATAGGAGATACTGAAAAGAGAGAGTAGCTAACAGGCCACATTAGATACAGATAACACATAAGGAAATGAGCATATAGTATGAAATCTCAAGGAAACTAGTCTAGGTAGACTTCTTTATTCGATAAAGAGAAGGGCAGAAGAGAATATCAAAAATGATAAGATTTCAATTGACTTTGAATATGTTGATTAAAACATCTAAACATAACAAAAATATATGCAAGCATATATATAGAATACAACAAACTACCTTAATAGAGAAGCTAAACAACACATGGATTTATACAATGTAGATCTCAAGTTAAATGTGAAAGAAATAGAACGCTAGGTATATCTAAGATTACTTAAAACATTACTGTCATATGCTGTCTTTTCAACCAAAGAATTGAAATATGCTCTATTCTCTGCTCTGTTTTTATCCTCACAAAAATTCCATGAAATCGATTTAAGCTGAAAGCCAGTGGTGATTTAACACCTAAATTCCCCATCTCTATGTCCAATAATTCTGTTTCCAATATCACAATTGTGAGGATTTTTTTTAGAAAAAGAAAGGAGTTATAAATAATTATAACTATCAACTATATTCCAAAAAACATCTACCAAAAATGGAAGAATGTACTACCCTTATACGACTTTATGATTTCAGTGTTCAGCATATTCAGAGGTGGTATTCAGCAGGTTCTGACCAGTTCTGGAGAACCGGTAGCGAAAATTTTGAGTAGTTCGGAGAACCGGTCAATACCACTTTTGGCTGGCCCCATCCCCATCTATTCTCTACCTCCCGAGTCCCAGCTGATCGGGAGGAAATGGGGATTTTGCAGTATCCTTCCCCTAGAGTGGGGAGGGAATGGAGATTTTATAGTATCCTTCCCCTACCATACCACCAAGCCACGCCATGCCACATCCACCATGCCATGCCCACAGAACCGTAGTAAAAAAATTTGTAGTAGTACAAAATTTTGAATCCCACCACTGAGTATATTGCCTAGTAATATTTTACAATCACATATCAATTCATGGTTTAAGAATGTAGTCAGCAATGTTTAGTTAACTGGATGGGGCAATAAAGCTTATTTCTAAATTATCAAAAAGCAAAGAAGAGATGAGTACCCAGAATCTGTCATTAGAAGAGTGATCTCTTTTCCCCAATAATACTATACCTGTGACTGATGGATTAAGGCTTACTACCAGTGCAAGACTTGCTGGCACAGAGTACACAACCTAAGAGTGAGATATATTAAATACATTTTATAAATAAACGAATATAGAAAAGAGGAAAATGGAAAGTGTTCAATCCCAAAGACTAGATAAATAAACAAGTCCCAAAATTACATCTCAGGGAAAGTTAGTAAAGTAGGAAAGCTGTATTTTATTGTCTAAGGAAAAAAGATCTTAGAAGGGCAAAAAAGCTCCATTGTGCTTATTGGCCTTTTAAACCATTGACTTTTCACAAAAAGAAATGTTTTACCAATGAAACCACCCACCATCAAACAGACCTACCAAGCTGCATGTGATGATCACAGGTGAAATTATTATTTCTTATGAATGTTTTGTCAGCTTGTGGAAACAATCACTCCATGTGGAGAATAAACTGCACACAGGAGAACTGTAATTTAGGTGTCATGTTTGTTTGTTTATTATTTATTTATTTATTTATTTATTTATTTATTTATTTATTTATTTAATTTTTATACCGCCCTTCTCCCGAAGGACTCAGGGCGGTGTACAGCCAAAATAAAAACCAACAATATAGAAGTTAAAAACAATTTAAAATTATTAGTTTGGGCAATCATCTAAAATAAAATAACCCATTCCCATAAAATTTTAGGCCAGCCCTGCTTGATGGAATAATAGCATTTTAAGGGCGCGGCGAAAGGTACGGAGGTCGGAAATCCGACGAATTTCCGGGGGCAGCTCGTTCCAGAGGGCAGGTGCCCCTACAGAGAAGGCTCTCCCTCTGGGGGTCGCCAGTCAACACTGTCTAACCGACGGCACCCTGAGGAGACCCTCTCTGTGGGAGCGTACTGGTCGGTGGGAGGCTATGGGAGGCAGAAGGCGGTCTCATAAACCAGTTTTGTTATTAGTAATTCAAGTTCACTTCATAGTATTTGCACCATTAGAAGCAGATGCAGTACACCAGTTGTGAACTCTGAAGGAAACTCTAAATTAGGCTGCTGTACCAAGGGTTAGCTTTGAAAATTGTTCAGCAATGGCAGCAAAAGGGCAATTACAGTTCTTATTGTGCAAGTGCACAATAGGACCATATTTCGCTCATTTGTGTAAGGCAGCCCTTGTTAGTAAATAAAACCTATTTACTTACTAGTGGCATGCACTTAATTTGAAATTTCAGTACAGTAATTGAAAAACTATCTTCTGCAATTTAACTTCCTCCCCCAGATACCATCATTAATTGCTTTTAGGTCCAGTTTTGTATTTATTCTATGCGCAGCAGGTGGCAGCATCTAACCAATCATGGCTGATCTCAAAGGAAAACAGGTCTGGTCCAATAAGCACCTTAATAAAGGTGGGATAAAAAAGTACCACCCCAGTAAAAATGTTAGGACATAATGTTAACATAGCAAGGGACAAGACCATATCTATACTCACTATCCAAAGTCCAGGATCAGGGTCATTGATCTGCGACAAAGAAAGCAAAAATCATTGCTATATGCTCTGATATTGAATAGCACATAAAATCAAAATCCTTCAAGATAAACCAAAAATCACTATCAGCTTTCCTTGCTCAATCTGTGGAAGACTTACTAGGGATCTTTTGTCACTGATAAAAGATGATCAGCAAATGTTATTTCTTAAAAACTACATGAGGACTGGAAAGAAATTGCAAACCTCTAAGAATGGGCTCCTCTTTTGACGTCTACAGTCAAACTGTGTGCACCCTATGACAAATCTGACTGATGCCAACTCAACGGTGGCTCCACTGCAGTCTGTAGTATTCATTTTAAAAAGCAACATCAAATCACCTTCAAGTTGTGTTTGAAACTTGGTGACCACAAGCACCTTTCCATATAGTTTCTTAGCAAGAATACACACCAAATACCTTTTCGGGACTTTTCACTTGCCAAATTGTGGATAGGGATAAAATAGCAGAATGGTGGCAAAAGAGGCTGATTTGAAACTAGACTGAAAAAAGCTCGACCGTCCTCTATTAATATGTCCACTGGCTATTTGATCCATCACCAAGATAATGGGTGAGAAGCATAAGAGTGTTTACATATCAAGGAGAAAAATTCTGCTTTCGGGCCATTCCAGCCTTGCTCTTGGACGGGAGAGGAAATAAAGCCAATTCTGCAAAAGGAGGCAGAAAGGATATTTTCAGCTGGATAAATGGGGAGTGGCCCTTACCTGAGCAGCTAAGGGAAAGTCCAAGGTTGGAGAATAGAATGGCACATCGAAAAATATCTCAGAATAAGACCTTGGCAAACCACTTTCTTATTGTTGCCAAGATAATTACAGGAACGGGTGATGCTTCCAAGAGTGACCAGGAGTAGGAAGTCTTGACTGTTTACGTTTTTAAAGTTGCTTCTCTTGCGAAGCTTTCTCTGGAGTTACCCTCTTCTCACCGCTCTGTTTGGAGTCGGTAGAAGAAGAGGCGAAGGGGGAACCTTGTCTTCTCTTGCGACCCCATTACTCGAGCCTTTCCCCAATTCGGGATCCTTCCAGACTCTGCCCCTCGGTCATTGAGTTCTCGCCTGTGCTACTCAGGGGATTAGCCTGCCCAGCTCCCGCGCACCCTTTGTCCCTCTCAACACAAATACTCATCCAGCCCAGCCGGACCTGAACGGCTCCAGCCAGCCCGAAGAAGACGGCCATGATCAAGTTGCTGAGCCTCCAAAGCCGGCTGGCACCCGAGAGAGGAGACGAAGTAAAACAGTCAGCCTCCATTACCCGGATTTACGACTTGCCTTTCCCAGCCTGCCCCGCTGGGTATACGCAGCCCTAAGCGTAACCTTCTTTCAAAGCCCACCCACTCTTCCCACGCCCACCAGCGCTCAGGACGTCCCACCAAAGCAGCCGGGATCCCGCCTCTTGTCTTCTTTTCAGGGGGCGAGTAATGCACGTAGTACGGCAGCCGTGTCAGCCTGTTAGTGATACGCAGCTAATTTGGAGTTGCGACTTTGGATCTTCTGTTTGTAAATAAACAGTCACGCCTTGATGACTGATGGAAGGAAGCCAGAGTTTCGAAGCTGACTTGACTGCTTCTTCCTTTTCAAATGGGCATAACTTCGATTTCCGTTGTTAAGACTGAAGACTATCTACCAACCGTTTCCTTGAAACTATTTTAGAAAGCACCTAATGAGCTGCCAATAAAATCGTAAGGAAGGACTATGTGGAAACGCTGAGCATTAGATGACTGGAACATCTTTGATTTATTGCAGAAGTGTTTTTATTTGTTGTTTACATTGCAATGAATTATTTATTGTCATTAAAATTTCTGCAGTTCTGGCTCTAATCGGCTGTTGGAGGTAAATGACTAATGTGGGTAATGTGAGTTTTGGCATAGTTTTGGCATTCAGAAAGTATTCAGACCCCTTTCATTTTTGTCAATTTATTATGCTGCAGCCTGATTCTACAGTTGTTGAAATTCATTTTTTCTCATTAATCTACTCTCAAGTATCCCATGACAACAGACTGAAAACAGAATATTAAAAATGTCTATAAATTTATTAAAAAAGAAAAAACTGAAATATCACATTGGTATAAGTATTCAGACCTTTCACTTAGTATTGTGTTAAAGCACCTTTGACAGCAATTACAGCCTCGAGGCTTTTTGGGTATGATGCAACAAGCTTTGCACACCTGGATTGGGGGATTTTCTGCCATTCTTCCTTGCAAATCCCCAAACTCAGGTTGGATGGCAACCATAGGTGGACAGCCATTATCAGGTCCCTACAGAGATATTCAATTAGGGTTCAACTCAGGGCTCTGGCTGGGCCACTCTAGGACATTCACAGAGTTGTCTTTAAGCCACTCCTGTGTTGTCTAGGCTGTGTGCTTAGGATTGCTATCATGTTGGAAATTGAACCTTTGGCCCAGTCTGAGGTCCTGAGTTCTGTGGAACAGGTTTTCATTGAGGATATCCCTGTATTTTGCCCCATTCAGCTTTCCCTCCCAGTTCCTGCTGCTGAAAAACACCATGCTTTACTATTAGGATGGTATTGGGCAGGTGATGAGCAGTGCTTGATTTCCTCTAGAACTGTGATGCAGTGATGGGTTGCTACCAGGGTGAACCAGTAGCAGCAGCCGCAGGAGGCTCTGCCCACCCACCCGGATGTCTCTGCGCATGCGCGGAAGTGTTTCACGCACGCGCACACTCATAAGCAAACCAGTAGTGGTCGAAATTTAAACCCACTACTGCTGTGATGGCAAACGTATTGCAAGCGTTCCACATGTGGCACGCAGAGCCTCTCTGCGGGCACGCCAGCCATCGCCCCAGCTCAGCTCCACCGTGCACCTTCGCCGGCCAGCTGGTCTTCGGGTCTCTGCCGTGTATGCGTGGGAGGCGGGGCGCATGTGGGGGATGTGCGTGCACATGCGCAGAGAACAGGGCACATAAGCAGGCAGCAGGGTGCATGCGCAGGGTGCTCGCACTGCAGTTTGGGGGTTTGCACATACATCCTTGTGCCCCGTTTTGGGCCTGGAAAGCCTCCTGCACCAACTTGGAAGCCAAAACGGGACACAGGGGCATCACGCGAGGCCCCTCGCCCCCCATTTTGGACCTGGAAAGCATCCTGCACCAACCTGGAAGCCAAAACAGGGCACGGGGGTGTCGTGTGAGGCTTCCCCGCAGCCCTATTTGGGCCTGGAAAGCCTCCTGCAGCAACCTGGAAGCCAAAATGGGGAGCGGGGAGGGCCTGGGAACATGCATGGGGGGCAGGGTGCATGCATGGGAAATGTGTGGGCATGCGTGGGGATGTGCACACATGCATGGGGGGCGCTCGCATTGCATTTTGGGGGTTTGGGCACACACACACTTTGGACACTTGGCACCAAAAAGGTTAACCATCACTGCTCTAAACATAACATTTAGAAATGAGGCCAAACAATTCAATCTTGGTTTCATAAGACCAGAGAATCTTGTCTGAGAAGACAAGATTCTGAGAACGGGAGCCCCAACCATGCTCACGAGTAAATGTGCTCATGAGTAAACTGCAGATTAGAGGCAGCCAGCAGATCACTGGTTTACTCACTCTGCTACTTGCTGCCCGCAGCTTGCAGGCAGCGAAAGAAATTGCCACCTCCTGCCTCCATGCATCGAGGAGGCCGAGCAGCAGTGGGAAGAGCACAGCCCTCCTGACGCAGGAAGCGGCTGCCAGCAATGCCCTCAAGTGAAGATGTTGTGAGTGGGGAGGCTCAATACCCGCTTAGGAGCCGCGAAGCGCTCGCCGCTCCTCTGATACCCACCAAGCCTCCTCCCACCATGCTTCTCTTCCTCCTCACCAGAAGCGCTCGCAAGCAACAAGACATCTGTTATTTTTTGGGAGACTGCGGGATTGCCCCCATCTGGTCTTCAGTACCTGGCTCGTTGGCCTCCAGACGTCAGATTCCCACCACCCAGCACCAGTTCAGAGGTTCCTTCCCCCCTATGGACAGAGAGAGGGAGGGAGGGAGGGAGGGAAAGAGAGAAGAGGGGGGGGAAGGGAAAGAGAGATGAGACAGAGAGAGGGGGGAGAGAGTCAAGACACACACAAAGAGATGAGAGAGAGATGAGAGAGAGAGAGAGAGAGAGAGAGAGGGATAGATGAGAAACGGAGAAAGAAAAAGAGATGAGAGAGAAATGAGGGAAAAAGAGAGGAGATGACAAAGAGAGAGGGAGAAAGAGAGAGCTGAGCGTGAGAGGGGGAGAAAAGAGAGAGATGGAGAGAGAGAGATACCTGTTTAAAAGAAAATAGAAAAATGGCTCTGAGTTTTTAAGGTTGCAGATCCGAGTTAGGCAAACACCATGGTCGTTAAATGAACCCTGTGGTCATTAAGCAAACACTGTGGTTGTTAAATGTCCATTTTCCCCAATGGGCATTTTTAAATGGAAACCAGAAGGAATTGTTGGAAACTGGCAAAAAACATAGAAAACCTTAGTCACATGATTGTGTGGAATGTTGTAACTGGTCATAAATGTGTGTGTGTGTGTGTGCATGGCTGTCAAAACTCCAAAAACAGGTCAAGTAGCTTTGGGGAGGTCAGTGGTAAATTTGAACATAAGCAACCGGACATTAAGCGAGGACCACTTGTATTTGGTTTGCCTTAATGGTTCAGAGATGTATGGAATCTGGTTTCCTTTGATCCTTTGTGGATTGCAAAAGGTCCGGATGCAGGAATCCTCGTAAGGGAAAACTAGGATCGTGACCACTTAGCCATGCCCACCCAGTCACATGACCACCTAGCCATGCCTACTCAGTCACATGACCAAGCCACGCCCACCAAACAAGCCACACCCACAGAACTGATAGTAAAAAAATTTGAATACCATCACTGCCTTTTGCCCATTCCATTGTACACTCATCTTTGTGCTCCATGATCTCTCAGTGGCTTTCATTCACTGACCATATCCTTCTGAACTGGCTCTAGGGGTTGACAATGTGCAATACTTTTCCCTGGTTCTCTTCCTTCCTCAGGATTGATTACAGTTGGCGTTGAATGGGTCGTTCCCCAAGTCCCATCTTTTTGAGGTGCCCAACATTTCTCCTCCTCCTAATCAACATTTACACGAAACCACTGGGTGAGGTTATTATATCTCACAACTCCAGGCTGGTTAAGTGAGGCTGTTAAAATCTTATCCCAGTGGAGGCTGGGGAGGCCTAAATAGAGAGAAACCTACTCCAAGTCAGTCCAACATTGAGCGGCTGTGATTGTTGGACCACCTAGATTTGGGGACCTTCTATCTTTACTTTTGGGTAAGGTTCCACTTCTCCATTCAGGAGTGATGTGCAATCTGGGGGTTAAATATTTATTTATTTTATTGAATTTGTACACCGCCCTACTCCCGAAGGACTCAGGGCGGTGAACAGCCATAGAATAAAACATATAAATACAAAATTTAAAACAGAATAAAACGAATTAAATAATTGGCTGAACAAATTTAAAACCCCAATATTTTAAAAACAAATTTAAAATTTCCATTTAAAAAGGGAAAAATATAAAAAATGTATGTTGAAAATGTTGAAAAAGGAAGATAAAAGGTAAATGGAAATGAAATTTCACTTTGAAAGGAAAGAAAAAAGAAAAATAGAAAAGAAAGAAATACAAAGAAGTGACTTCCAATATTTTTATATACAGATAGTCCTCAATTTACAACAGTTCGTTTAGTGGCACTGAAAAAAGCGACATTTTTCCCACTTATGACCGTTGCCACACCCTCATGATCATATGATCAAAACTCAATGCTTGGCAACTGATTCTTATTTGTGACAGTTAGTGTCCCTGAGTCATGTGACCCTCTTTAGTGACCTGACAAGAATGTCAACAGGGAAGCCAGATTTACTGCGTTACTATCTTAACAACTGCAGTGATTCACTTAACAACTGTGGCAAGGTAGGTCATAAAATGGGGCAAAACTCACTTAAATGTCTCACTTAACAACATATATTTGGGGCTCAATTATATTTGGGGTCGTATGTTGAGGACTACCTGTAAATAAATCCAAATAGTTTTCTTGAATAGGGTAAAAGGAAGTATCTAATCATTGGAAAATAATAAAAATGCCTACTTGAAAGACTGCATATGTTGGGAATACAGTGAGCAATAAGTTTATAATACAAGGCAAAGGCTAGAAAAACGTTCAAAGAAGCCCTTTGGACTTTCTCATTAGCTTTTTTTTAAATGTAAGTTTTTAAACCTTCCTGAGGGGGGTTGAATAATAAGTTTTAAATAAATAAATACATATTTTTATAAATATTTTAAGACGGTATTTATTACAATTGTTTTGTGTTCTA